GTGATAAACTCGAATTTTGATGTGATAAACTCGAATATTTAAAACCGGTTCCAACCTCTAGTCTAGGTAATATCACAAATGATTTTTCTGAACTATTGAGCACAAGTTCAAAGGTCTATCTGTTTGATACAAATTCTTATAAATGGACTACAGTATATATGTCATACTCAGGTTTGTTTGCTTTTTTTTTTTAGTTTTAGGGGTAAATTTATTTGTCATCGGCGGTTATTGTCAAATTGCACTATTTAAAAAACTTAATAATTTTAAAATTTTAAACAAAATTTAAATAACTCAAAATTGATATCATTCATATTCTAAAAAAATGATTCCTTAAACAATTTTACTATATACTGTAATATAAACTACTTTAACTATTAATCTAACTTAAAAGAAATTTGGTTACTGTCACTGCCGGTTACAAATACATTTTTTTAGTTTTAATATGTTAAACTAATATTTATTTTTAATAAATTTTTAATTGTTAGTTTCTGCTATAATTAGAATTATTCGAATTATTGGAATTATTATGTACATAGCCGCAGTTATTGGATTATTAGTTTCTTCGTTTTGGAAATATAAAAAATCCAAAACTCAATAAACTATTCAACTAATTATATATTGTATGTTATTAAAATTATATTTAACTTAGCACTTTATTTTTAGACATTCTAATCAAAATGAGCTTAAACTCTTCATTGGCCATTATTTTCATAGATTTCTCTAAGCAAGTTTTCTATTTTTTCATAATTGTGCAGTATTAGCATTAAGCCTATTTTCCTGGATTTGCGTGATTTCATCAAGTAGCTATCACTAGTGTTCCGCAAAAGATCCGGGTCCGGTCCGGTCCGGTATTAAACATAAGCTAGCTTTTCTGTTCGGTTAAAAATGTTGTAACAAAGTGATATAAAGACGAGCAGAGTCATCAGAGAGATATGGAGGGCAATAATTTTTTACTAAAGAGGTTTTTTTTTTAGGAACGGACCGGACCCGGATCCATAACTTGGATCCCGGACCGGACCCGGATCTTTAAAAATACCCGCCCGGTCCGGTTCATGCGGAACACTAGCTATCACTATAAAAAAAACTTTTTAGTATAAAATCCACTATGAATAGGGATGTTAATCAGTCCCGCAGTAATTATCGGCTGACTTTAAGCAAGATTTGTAAAAATTGATATATTTTAACTAATGTTCGACTAATAAATAAAGCTATAGAAAAATTGGTTTTCTATCACTTTTTAATGGAAGTTTATTAGTTTTTGCATTGATTTTTGAGTAATTTAGATAGGACCAATTAGGAACTTAATCAGTCCCATCTAAATTATTCAAAAACCAATACAAACTTTTATTAGATACTATTATAGAATAATAACTTTACTATAACTTAACAGGCAAATACCAATTAAAAATACTAATTTCTTACAAATCTTGCTCAAAGTTGGCTGATAATTACTGCGATATCGATTAACATCTCTATGAAATTAGAGAGAAAATAGATAAGTAAAAAAAAAATAAGATCTCAAAATAAACTGCTATTGTAGAACATCATATTAAATTACGCACATCTAGTAATACCCTTGCAAGGTTGATATTTTAGATAAAGCAGTATATGAATATATTGATAAAAGTTCCTGTTAAACACAAGATTGAAATCGAATTATTTGCAAATCTTTATAAATACTAATTTTTACAATGATATATTGAACTAAGGTCCAGATTTAACTTTTGTTCTATAAACATGAATCAAAAAAAATTTGCTTAAGAGTCTTCGGAAGCCTACCTTAGAGATCGATTACTCCTTGTAATTAATGGCTTTCTTTCAAAGTTAAAAGAAACCTTTATAAAGTTATTAATGGTACCAATATGGGTATGAATTCAAAATAATAAACTGACAGAATTAATTAGAGAATATTTTGATCATGAGCTACAATGTTTATACATTATGATCCATAATACAGTATTTATGAACATGGTTTTCTGTTCCACCAATTAAATTATTTTTATGCTCATTTATTAAATTAAGGTGAATGAACTGATTTGAAAGTATTAGATAATGGTAAATAATTATTAATGAATAAGTATTTATAAACATGATTTATGAGCATTATTTGCTGTTTTAATTCCACCGGTTAATAATTCATCTTTGAACTCACAGACTAAATTAGTGTGAATGAAATGATTTGAAGGGTATGAAATGAGATTTCTATCAATTTCCCGACAACCACTTTCTCGACAAACAAAATTCAGACAAAAATTGACTGAAACTATAACTAACGCTACCCTAATGTGAGATAACTTGTTAGGATTCTGTTTGTCGGAAAATATTATGATTCGATGTAATGGAAATAAGCAATTATGAATAAGTATTTATAAATATGATTAGAGGTAGAATAAATTTATATGAGTTAATAATTCTTTATTAATTCGGTTTATCTAAATATCTATTGAAATTAGTCAAAGATGGATAAACAGGTACTGAATTATGTTTAACAATATTAAAGATTCTTTAACTAAGAAAGGGTCAACACCACCATTTTTAGCTATGAACTCTCTAGGCATAGTCCTTAATATTTCTGGCGCAATAGTAGGAAAAGACGGTGGTAAATAATCCTGTGGAAAACATTTAGCACCTTGTTCCTTTACAGCACCTCTAATTCTAACAAATTGATCTTTAGGACTGAAGTTTGGAACCGGTTTTATTTTTCATATGGGACCCCCTATACATGGGTGTCTAAATTACTCCTCTTAATAAAAAATTATTTCGACATTTAGTCTGTTGAAATTAATTTTCTTAATGGCGAAATTAAATTTCATAGTTGTCGAAATTTTTAGTGAAATTATTTGAATTCTTTATGTCAAAATA